TCATGTGACTTCAAGTCTTCGTCTAGTATCCTTTCATTTGAACTTGAAGGACTCCCTTTAGGGCAGGTTTGGTGGTAAAAAACTTCTCCAGCTTTTGCTTATCTGGGAATGTCCTAATTTCTCCCTCATTTTTGAACAGTTTTGCTGGGTATGGGATTCTGAGTTGAAAGATTTTTTTCTTCTTTGAGAACTTTGAGTGTATGAACCCACTACCTTCTGGCCTCTAAGGGTTCTGATGGGAAATAGGATCATAATTTATTGAGGATCTCTTATATGTGATGTGTTGCTTCTCTCTTGCTGCTTTCCAGATTCTCTCTTTGCCTTTGACGGTTTAAGTATAATGTGTCTCAATGTGTCAAGTAGAATTTACCCTACTTGGACTTTGTTGAGCTACTTGGGTTTGTAGATTCATGTTGTTCTTCAAATTTGGGAAATTTTCAGCCATTATTTCTTCAAATAATCTCTCTTCTCCTTTTGAGACTTTTAATGCATCTGTTGGTTCTGTTAGTGGTTTCCCATAGATCCCCTCTGTTCACTTTTCTTCCTTTTTTCTTTTCTTCCCCAGACTCAATCATTTCAGTTGTCCTGTATTCAGATTTGCTGATTCCGCTGCCTGCTCAAATCTGCTTTTGAACCCACCTTGTGAATTTTTTGTTTCAGTTACTGTACTTTTCAACTCCAGAATTTATTTTTGTTTCCTTTTTATAATTTCTCCCTCTTTATTGATATTCTCATTTATTTCATACATCATTTTCCTGTCTTTGTCTGTGTCTTCCTTTAGCACTTTGGGCATCTTTAAGACAGTTGTTCTAAAGTCTTTGTCTAGTAAGCCCAACATTTGGGCTTACTTGGACACAGTTTCTGCCAATGTATTTTGTTCCTTTGAATGAGCCATACTTTCCTGTTTCTTTGTATGCCTTGTGATGTTTTTGTTGGACGTTTGAATCTTATAACTCTGGAAATCAGCATCTCCTCTTCCCAGGATTTGCTGTTTATTTGTTGTTGAAAGGTTTCTTTGTGCTGGGGATCAACCTGAAGTGAAAGCATAAGGTCTTCTCAGGCCTTTTCTGAACCTTCATCTTTCCTTGGGCATCCCAGGTGGCTTTCTAAATTTTCCCATGTGTGCAGTTGCTATTGAATGACTTAATCCATAAATATCTGGCTCCCAAAAGGGGAAAAAAGAGGGAAAAAATGTATTACTCTTTGAAATTCCCAGGAAGCAACTTAAGCTGGTAGGGGTTGCAACAATGATGGCCAGTCCCTGTATCTGCATCTCAGAAATCAAAAGCAGCACTGAGCAGTTAAAACCCAGAACCCAGATGTTTGAAGGATAGCATCCTTATTTTCTGCCCTGGCTCCAGCAAGCCACACTGGGAATGCGAGCGCAGCTGCCCTCTGTGAGGCTGGGATGTGGAAGACAGATGGCCACTACTACACGAGAGCTTGAAGCTGACCAAAAGTAACCACAGCTTATCAGCCAGGCTTTCTCCTGGAGGCTGCAAGCTTTCAAATCAACTCCAGAGTTTCAAAATAGTTACTTCAAAGAGTCTTTGCCAACATGCTTGTTGTCTAGATGAAAGGGATTCCTGGTGCTTCCTTGCTCCACCATCTTCTCTGACATCACTTTCTCTTTTGGTCATTTTAAGATAAATTCTGATAAAATAGTTCAATTCAGGCTAACGTCTGTTTATTGGAGATCAACCTGTGCAAATTTCTCTGCCGGAGGCTGCAGAAGAATAGGAGGCAGACAGGAACCCAGCTCACCATTTCACCAGGTTGGTGATAAGCAGCATAGCAAAGACCAAGCAGGGTCAGTAGAGGCTCCAAGTAGGAAAGGAAAATAGGTGCAGAGTGGAGGGGGCCTTAAGAATGGGCAGAGAGTTAGTGTGGGAGATGGGGAAGATGGGGCAGCTAGGAAGATGGGGGCAATGAAAGGGGACTTGCTGTGGGAGAAGTGGACAGGGAGAAGAAACAGAATAACCAAAGTTCAGGGGGAAGCATCCTGAGGCACATGTGGTATCCCATGGGCTGCCCCCTTCCAGGCCCACTTTCTGCTAGATCTAGGAGTTCTCTTCTGTCATATCTTTTTTTTTTTTTTTTTTTTTGAGGAAGATTAACCCTGAGCTAACTACTGCCAATCCTCCTCTTTTTGCTGAGGAAGACTGGCCCTGAGCTAACATCCATGCCCATCTTCCTCTACTTTATACATGGGATGCCTACCACAGCATGGCTTTTTGCCAAGCAGTGCCATGTCCGCACCCGGGATCCAAACCGGCAAACCCCAGGGCTGCTGAGAAGCAGAACATGTGAACTTAACTGCTGCACCACCAGGCCGGCCCCTCTTCTGTCATATCTAATCTCCTCTCCACCCACCTGCTGTGAGACATAAAGGTAGTTGGCATATAAGAGTCAGTAGATAACGATGGATGCAACAGAAGCTAAAATAAAGCTTGATGACAACTCAGGAGGTTAATTACATGACTTGCGCTAATCTCAGTCCACACCCTAATGTATGTAGGAAACATAGCTTCCTTTATTTTTCTAGAAACCAACCTAATTTGTGTTTTGAACTCCATTCTAGTCCATGTTGGATTCCTAATCACTTTGGGAGGTTTTGCCCCATTTGTCCTGAGTTTGCATCTAAAGATGTTCAGTGAGGATGCACCTGGTCCTTGTGACATTGTGGTGTATTCGTCTCCTAGAGCTGCTGTAACAAACTACCTCCAACTGGGTAGTGGCACAAACAATAGAAACTTATTCTCTCCCAGTTCTGGAGGCTAGAAGCCCAAGATCAAGGTGTTGGAAGGGTTGGTTCCTTCTGGGGGCTGTGAGGGAGAATCTCTTCCATGCCTCTCCTCTAACTTCTGGTGGTTGGCTGGCAATCTTGGGCGTTTCGTAGAGTGTAGAAGCATCACTCTAATCTCTGCCCTCCTCTTCCCATGGCGTTCTCCCTGTGTGTATCTGTCTCCAGATTTCCTCTTTTTATAACACCACTGGTCATTTTGGATTAGGAGCTCACCCTGCTCCAGTGTGACTTCATCGTCGCGAATTACATCTGCAGGGGTCCTATTGCCAAATAAGGTCACATTCTGAGGCCCTGGAGGTTAGGACTCCAGCGTGGGAATTTGAGAAAGGACACAGTTCAACACGTAACTTCTCACCATCCAGCATCTGCTGCCTTACCCACCCCTTCTCTGGTCCCAGCCATGGCAACTTGCCTGCTGCAGAGAAGATGTCCCTCCTGCTGGTCCATGTGGCTCTTCAGGACCAACCTCTCTCTGTTCCTTCCACACCGTGCTTTGTGAAACAGGAATCCACTCATCTGTTTACACTTGGCCCTTAGGCCCAGGACTCTCAGGGAGACTGTCTGAGGCTTGATCTACCTAAATATGCCATGCCATCATTTCTCTGAGGTTCAGCTGCCTCCCTGGTGCTCTGGGCAGGAAAAAGAACAAAAGGTGCCTCTGTTCTCAGATTCCATAAACCTTAGAGAGGTTTTCCTGTTTCCTGACTTGGAGATCAAACTCTCTGGGGCCACGAGTGTATATCATCTCTCAAGGCAGACTCCACTCCAGGTGAAGATGTCTAGAGTGAATGTTGTGGACACAGAGGTATGAGGGGAACCTTTCCTCTTACTCCAGATGTTTTCTCTAACACATTAATGTAGACCAGGAGCTGGCAAACTATGGCCTGTGGACCAAATCTGCCCCAGCACTTGGTTTTGTAAATAAAATTTTATTGGCAGGCAGCCATGCCCTTTTGTTTATATATTGTCTCTAGCTGCTCTTGTGCTAATTGGCAGAGTTGAGTAGTTGCAACAGAGACTGCATAGCCAACAAAGCCAAAAATATTCACTATCTGGCCCTCTGCAGAAAATGTTTGTGGACCCCTGGTGTAGACTTTTGTAACACAAAAGCCTAAAGACTTTACCACCTTTTGCTGTCACATCTCTCCCCTAAGGTGATGATTGCAGGGTGGCTTCACTGTCTGAACAGGAGAAATGGCAAAGGGAGAAAAAGAAATACCATAAATGTAATGGTTGATGTGTCAAAAATGTCATCCTGGCAACAGGTGTGTGCAGTTTGTGAAAAGTTATTGAGCAGAATAGTTGTGATTTGTGCTGTTACTCTTGTATGCTGAATTTCAATAAAAAGCACAGGGGAAAACAATCTTACTCCATCTTGATAATCTTGGCATCATGAAGACAAAGGAACCGTTGAGGTTGCCCAGGTCAGAGTCCTAGGAGAGTACCCCGGGGCCTCATGGAAGAGCTAGGCAGAGCCATCCTTCAGCCAGCCTGGCCAGTGTCCTGCTGCTCCCCCTCATTGCCCCTCACACATGTGGACTTGGCCAGAGAACACAGCTGGGTCTCCAGAACTGCTTAAAACCTAAGCCTAAGCGCAGAGCGTCTAGAACCCAAGACCATGTCGTTGACCATGCGTGGTCTCACACTTGCCCAGATAAAGCTTGCAGAGCTGGTTCTGAACTGGTCTTTATCCAAAGCTCATGAACAAGTGAATTAATCGCTCCGATGCCTTTCGCTATAAAGTAAGTGAGAGCTCTTGATGCACTCATCTTGGAACTTAGCCACCTCAATAGTGCACCTAAGAGCCGTTTAAAGGTCTTCATTTTATAGAAGACCAGAAGAAAAAAACCACACACACCAAAAATTCCCCTCGGGGCTTTCAGTGTTACAGATGGCCAAGTTTTAAGTTCAGATGGAAGACACAGTTTGTGGATCTTGCTGAACTGATACTCTCTGTATTCTGTTTCCAGATGACCTTGATTTACAGTTCTTGGATACATGTTTCTGACGGCTCACTTAAACATGCCGTCAGCGTGGGGCTGGGATTGCTGAGATATGGTGTGTAAGAGCAGGGCGGGTTGCTTTGGAAACCTTGCCCGGCCCCTCCTCTTCCTGGCAAGAGAGGCAAAAACTGAGCACCCCTGCTATTTCAGCAGCACCATCTGGTTAATGCAGACCATTCTCTTCCTTCTAGCCCTGGGCCTGGAGGCACGCACTGCCTGGGTGCCAGCGTGGAGCACGCGGTCTGTGAAAACCTGCCCTGCCCCAAGGGCCTGCCCAGCTTCCGGGATCAGCAGTGCCAAACACACGACCGGCTGAGCAGCAAGAAGAAGGGCCTGCTGACAGCAGTGGTGGTTGATGGTAAAGGCATATGGTGCATCCTTTCATAGTGACCTCCCTCCCTCCTCCCCAAGAACGTAAACACCTCCTAGGAAAACCCACCCCCTATGCCTGCGCTCCACCCAACAGGATGCTCCAGTCCTCCTGCCCAAGTCAGCCGAGGACCCACTTCTTGAGCAGTGGAGTTGAACTTGGGTGACCCAGTGCTGTGAGATTTCCCAAATGCAGCTGTGAGGCAGGCAGTGGACCAGATTCCTCCTGCACCCTTGTTTGCAGCAGGGCGGGTATGCTGGCAGCCTGCCATCTAGTGCCATGTGCTTAGGGGCCCAGGGCCAACTTGGAGAAGAGCAAGGCTCTGCAGGAGCAGGACAGTGGGTTTGTGTGTCTTCTGTTTCACTTTCCAGTGTTGATGCTTTCTTGCATTTCTTTTCTTGGTTCATTTTGGGTTGACTCTTACTCCTCAACTAGAGTGTTTGGGAAGAAGTTTTAAGGACAGTTTACAGCTTGGTGAAAATTATAATAAGCATAGATCATATTTTCTTTCCAAGAGTATTCTCCCAAATCAGGAAACTCTGCCCACTGGGCCATTGCAAGCATTTCCAGTGGCTGATAAAATTCTAGGTTGTGTATCATGTCTGTAGCATTTGTGATGTCTGTTTATCATTGATAAGGAAGCCCCAGGGCCTGGTTCAGGGGTTTTTACACTTAAAATTCTGCTCATCTTCAGGAAACAAGACTGTGTTATAATGATGACAATATGGTCCCATTTATCCATCGTACCGTGTGCCAGGCACAAGTTAGCTCTGCATACATCATCTCATTTAATATGCAAAACAAGCCATGCAGAAGATGAGAGGTTACGGGTTACATGACACGTCTAAGCTCCTGCCGCTGATGAGAAGCAGGAAGGGGTCTGACCCCAGTTCCAGAGGAGCTGACTCAGAAAATAACCAGCTATCATCTGGCTTCCAATACTCAAGACAGAAAGCATGATTTCTTGAGTGCTGAGTGAGGCAGCTTTAATAAGAACTAAAGCGCTGGGCCTGATTTTTATGCCGCCTCTAAAGTCTTTTGCAGGAGAAGGAGGTTCCTGTGCCAGGTCTTAGGTTTCTTCCCTGTGATCTGCAGAACCTCTGAAATCTCCATTCCGCAGTCTGCGATTACAAGCTCAAATGTGCATAGCTGTGCTGGGGTAGGCCCAGGCATTACAGGGAATAGTGGCCTCAGACCCACAGCTTTTAACCCAACAACCTGACCCATCCACTTTGAAATGACTTGTAAAGTGATGTGGGATGTTCTAAATTATAGCAGATGGTACCAACCCACCCAGCCGTGGGCTCATTTTAAAGCATTGGGGCGTTCCCCAGACATTTTCCTTTTTTAAAAAGAACACCAGCTTTGGGAGCTGTGTGATTATAGCAGCACTGTCACCTAACCAGCAGACTTCAACACAAGTGCAGCCGTCATACCCTTGGCTTTACCTGGAGACAAAGTAGACGGGAGCCCCGCCCTCCCAAAAGGAACACACACACCTGGAGGCAGGGCTCGCACACGACCCTCGCCACTGTCTGCCTGGCCATTCATCTGATGCGGGAAGACACAGGAGGTTTCCAGATGTCTCGGGCACACTCAGACCCCTAATCGGGAGGAAGATAGCACCAGCGGGAGCTGCCGTATTTCCATCACAGCGACTGGTTCAAATGAGAAGCAGCCTCATATCCAAACCGTCAGCCACCTCCCGGTCTGCTAGATAAAGATGCTTTAGGTCGTCTGCCTGTCATGTCCTCTCCTGCTTCTCGGGAGCAAGAAGAGGTCAGGTCTAGGACAGACTCTCCCCTTCTCATTACCACGCAACTATGTGCATGGAGTTGTTATTCTTTCCTCGGTCTCCTGCTTCAGTTTTCAGTTCTCCTGCCTCATTTATGCAATGCAGAAACCCCACTTAAATGTCTATTTTTCCACAGATTTCTCCAAGTCCAGATTAAACTTCTGTTTTACTTCTAACCACTTTTGGATGGCTGAGCTCGTCGGTTCCCTTATCATCACAGTGGCTGAGACTGTTGTCTGCCCAGAACCCCCCTCCAAGAAGCCTCACACTGCAGCTATTTGGGGAAGCTCATTGGGTTCAGAATGTGTTTCCACCCAGTCGCGTTTTGTTTCTTTCCACCAAAGCAACAAATAATTATAGCCAGAGTGCCACCGCCTTTGATCTCAAAAGTACAACCCTATTTGATAAGGACAGTTAACAGGCAGAGAGCTTTTTGCCTTTGAAGGAGAGACCCCAAGTTCAGGGCTTTCAAGGGTAGCTTGACACATCCCCCTCTGGGGTGAAATTGTCGTGACTTCTTGAGTATTTGGTTTCATTTCCCTCTCAAATATAAACAGAAGCCAGCATTTTTTAAAGGAGCATTTCACAGGGATAAAAACAAAGTAATAAATGGCCAATTCAGAGGGCAGGGGGAGAATACAGATTTTAAGTGTTCCTCTCAGAACTTGGTTTATAAAAGGCACAATTCTAGCTCAGCCGTGATAGGAACGATTCCTGTGGTTGGGCTCCGGGCTCTTCTGCAGCCCATTATGACTGCCCTATTCATAGCATTGCTATCGCTGCGGAATTCTTTGGCGAGTGACGCACAGTTCAAGAAAGGGGAAGCTATATTTTTTCTTTTTTCTCCTATTGAAAAAAAAGAAATTCTTGCAGAGGTAGATTTTCCAAGGGAGGACTCAGGACCACAAATCTATACCACCTCCAAAAGAAGACAAAGACTCTCCTTAGAAATATTTCTAAGTGGAAAAGCCTTTAGACAGAAACCCATTGAGATGGCCCGTTGCCAAACCCACCCCATTTCTGCTTTCCCCGTGGAATCTCATTTAAGTAGAAACCGTCAAGAGTTCAGTCCTCCCTGCCTAGGCCAGCAGGCCACATGCCCACAGAAGTGTCAGAGGGCTTGGCGAAGGCCGTGTCTGGACATGGAAGTGCATTCCCAGCTCCTTCTCCTCGGCATGGCAGAACCCAGTCCGAGTCTGAGCCTCCCGGGGGACGGAGGGTATGATGGTTATAGTTCTCTGACTCCAGCTTGGCCAAGCCAGCTGGGGTTGCTTAATGAAAAAGAGAGAAGTTGTTGCAAAGATGTAGGGTGTCTCACAGGTCCCCAGGGCCAGGATCAAAGTGTGAGGCCAGGGCTTCTGAAGATGTCAGGACCTGCCCTCCGTGTCCTCCACAGCTTGTTTGTGGATCATTCCCTCCTGCCCCCACTGCAGACTGGCTTTCTCACAGCTTGTCCACATGCAGGCTGATGGGCGGCCCTCAGCACCTTCATGTAAATCCTCATCCCATATCCAAATCCTTTGGGGCCAGATGTGGTTCAGAGTTAGAAGCATTTTAGGTGTTTGAGAGGTAACAACAGTGCATCAACCATATATTACTCAGTGGGATCCAGGGGAGCACCCCACAGTCAGACACATGGACAGCTCTACCAGGTAACCCATGAGCAGTCTCTAAGTGGGATACTGAAAACTACCAACAGCCTTATGTCAATCAAGGCTGGTTTTTCTACCAAATGTGTTTGCCACAAGTGTAAGAAAATGCTTGGAGCTGTCAGAGCTTTCTGGATTTCTGAATTATGGATAAGGGAGTGTAGGCTTCTTTGGGATTCACCAACCATGAGCAGACACCACCTCTCTGAATCTGAATTTCAGTGCTAATTTCCCAGGGGAGAGACAGGTTGGTCCAGCTATAGTCAGGTGGCCACTGCTGGTCCAATCAACTGAAGCCTGGCTATGAGGTCATGGTGGGTTGCTTTGAGGACAGGGGCCTGAGCAGCCTCCTCAGTGTGTTCCCCAAAGAGGGCCAGGCAGGGCTAGGTGAGCACTTGTGATGGCCTCAAAATTAATGGTGTCGCCACCTTAGTAAGACCTTGTAACCACTGGCAGAGAGAAAACAGCAAGAGCACTGAGAGCCACAAGTGTCTTCACCATAGAGTGCCAGGGGGAATCTTCCAAGCCTCCACCAAGCAGATGTGATTGTGTGGCTCTCAAACCCCTGCCCTATCTGTGGCTTTCCCATCCAAGTGTAAGTCCTGACAGCAGATGAGCCACTGAGAAGCTGGGACCCACCCCAGCCAGTCCAGCCTCAATCAGAATTTCATCTCCACAGACATCAGCTGTTCAAGAGGGATGCTCCAGGCTTCTTTCTTTGGATTGTGTGGTTGTGTACCTTTTAAGAAGATTTAGTCTCCTTCTATACTACTAAGGATGTAACAGTGTTGACACTGTGCCCAAAGCTGAATCCCAGCACCTCATGTTATTTATTGGGAGATTAGTTGCCCACCTGAGGCAGCCTGAAGGGGAATATTCAGAGAATTGTGAGGGACTCTGAGCCTCCTCAAGTTTTGTAAAAGTTATCCTGAGTCCCTTCGAGAGATAGTGCTACACTTTCCCAGAGGTGTGGGGTGCCCTGAATTCTGAGCAGAGTCCCCAGGAAAGGAGATGGACAAAAGGAAGGAGTTCCAGCTGAGCAGAGGAAGGAATTGTTACCTCTGGACTCTCTTCTGGAGCCTAGGTGTCCCCAGACTGTCCCAAGCCATAAAGGACAGTGTCTGCAGGTGGAGGAGTCAAGTGTACCTTCTTGCCTGAGGTCATGGCCAAAAGCCCTCCATCTGAGCTTGGGCCCCCCTCTTGAGAGAGTCTCCACTTCCCTCATGTTCACACCAAAGAGCTCAGATAAGCAATCTTCATCCCTTCCAGGTCTCATCTTTCTAACTTATCTCAAAAGAGCCTCTACTTTTCCACCCAAATTCCATTTCCATTTCTGCTCAAATCAGAGTATACACTCAGAAGCCAGAAATGTCCATGAAACTGGTTGTTTGTTTTCAGCAACACCATTTTGCCTCTTGGTATTTTTGGCCCGCAGAGTTCTCTATTCGGAAAGAAAACAGTGATAATGGGAAGAAAACCAGGATGGAGTGAAGAGGCTAGGGTCTGGCCCTGCCAGGCAGGGGACTCTGGGCAGCCATGCACATTCTCTGAGCCTCGTGTGTTCATCTGTAAGATGGAATGATGACAGCACCCACCTGAAATGCATAGACACTTCAGCATGCTGCCTGGCACGTAGTAGATAATAAGTGTTATTTGTGATTTTATCGTCATCACCACCATCATCATCATCATTACTGCTATTGAACAAATCACCTCAAAGCTCAGTTACTCCAAGTTGAGGCAGCACTTCAGTTTAAAGGTAATTAAAATCCATAGTTTTCAAACTGCCAAGGGACCCTTTCTTCCAGTGAAACATGAGAGGAAGCCCAGTTTGTGGAGAAGATACACCCATCCATTCAGACTGCGGGCTGTGGTGCTGCGTCTGTCCCAGTGGCTCCCCAAGATGCTCAAGGTCCCAAAGAGCACCTCAAAAGTCTTGTCAAATGAGCCCCCCAGGACCTGATCTCAGTTTACATTTCAGTTTCCTATAGTTCTCCTTCCACTGGCCGCCACCTCGTGTCATTCCATCTAAATGGAGGGACCACTGCCCTCAGCCTGCCAGCTGAGGAAATGGGTCACTCCTTCCAGGTTATGCCCTGTCCTCTGACAGCTCAGATCAGACCCATCTCATGGGGCTTTTCACAGTCTGCCTCATCTGGAGTTTGCTGTGTACTTGTCCATGAGACCACCAGGGTCTTACCTATCTTTCTTTCCCCAGGAGTGCCCAAAGAGTGCCTTGTGTGAGGGAGGGGCTCACTCCATGTATGTTGAATAAATGTTGAAGCATTGTTACTTTGCTTACCTAGGAAGCTACTCTTCATAGCAGATGTTCTTCTCCCACAACTAACTGGAACAACCAAGTAGAACATTTCTGCTATACCCTGTGGCTGCTTTCTAGTGTTCTAAGACAAGACTTCCCACTGGGCATGTTGATCAGCAGAGCTCCATGGAAGAGGAGCTGTGGAATGCTGAACACAGTGACGGTTTAGTGAATGTCATCCGATCATGAAAAGCCTGGAGCCTGGGTGATACTGTACATCTACTTTGACTGAAACTCTCTAGCTGGGATGTTAAGCTCTTCTGAGGCCGACTCAGCCCCAGAAGGCTTCCTCTACCCCTGCCATTACTCACCTGAGACCACCAGAAGGACCCACTAGAGACGGGTTGTGGTGGAGACAAATGGCCTGGCAGAGGCAGCAGAAAGCTGTTAGTGTTTCTGTTTCTGGAGGTTCTTTTTAAAAAATAATCACATAAATGTCATTAGAATTAGGTGACTGAGAGACAGAAAAGGGTGCATTCCTCTTTTTCAGTTACGTACAGAGAAACAAAATCCATTCATTCAAAATAAGCTTGAAGCTTTTCCACTAAGATCAGGAATAAGGCAAGTAAGTCCCCTTTATCACTCCTTTTCAACATCATACTGGAAGTCCTAACTTATGCAATAAAACAAGAAAAAGAAATAAAAGATTGAGAAGGAAGAAATAAAACTATCTTTTTTTGCAGAGGACATGATCGTCTATGTAGAAAATCTGAAAGAATCGCTAAAACCCCCTCCTGGAACTCGTAAGCAATTTTAGCAAGGTTGCAGGATATAACATAAATTTACAAAAGTCAGTCTCTTTCCTATATACCAGCAAGGAGAAAATGGAGTTTTGAATTAAAAATATACCATTTACATTAGCACCTCAAGAAATGAAATAGTTAGGTATAAATCTAACAAAATATGTGCAAGATCTATATGAGGAAAACGATAAAACTCTGATGAATGAAATAAATTAATGGGGAGCTATTCCATGTTCATGGTTAGGAAGAATTAATATTGTCAAGGTGTCACTTCTTCCCAACTTGGTCTATAGAGTCACTGCAGTCCATTCAAAATCTCAGCAAGGTATTTTGGGGATATTGACAAAGTGATTCTAAAGCTTATATGGAAAGATGGAAATATTTACCCAGTCTTTCTGTGAGTCAGGTTCCTGGGCCTGGCCTGGGGACAAGAGACGGAAGCTCAGTCTGTTGTCCTCCAAGGGCTCCCAGTCCCATCATTTCTTCAACCTAAATGTAATTAAAATCCATCCCTTTTAAACTTCTTTAGAAGTGGGACCCACTTTATGAGAAATCTTGTATATGGGACTTGTTCAAACAATTATAGGACAGTAGGATAATGGCTGAGGGCTTTAATGAAGGTGTGTGCAAAGTGCAGATGGAGATTCCAAGTCAGAGATGGCATGAGCAGACAGCGTTCTGGATTGAAAGCTGCTAGAGTGATAGGAATCTTCCAGAAAGCTAAGTGCAAGAAGGGATTTCCAGGCAGAAGGGACAGCCTAGACAAAGGCATGAGAGTTGGCATGAGAGTTCTCCTGTTCTGGGAGCTCACTTGGTTCCAGAAGCAGCAGAAACCAGCATTTCTATCCTGCCTGGTGACATGGCTCTTACAGGTTGTCCTAGAGGCCCCTTTGTTCTGTACCTTACTCCTGCTCAGTTTCTTCTGGGACCTTCTTGCCACATAGCACAGCCCTGCAGCTTTTATCCAGCAGCTGGCGGAGCACTAAAGCTTTTAGCAAAAGCCTCTGCTATGGAGACACCCATGGGGCCTGCTCCCTCCCCCAGAAGCATTCTTGTTCACTTTCTCCCCTCTTCCACCCCCAGGACAGGAGCAGCTCACCCTTGATAACATATTCAGCTTACTTAGAGGTTAGCACACAACAAGATGTTCGTTCAGCCTTGTATTTTTAATGTCTTAAGGAAAAGGAACCACTGTGTCTTTGCAAAGGATAAAGAGAACACGGTGAAGAAAAGCCCATAGAGCTCTCAGCGTGTGTCAGTCACCTGAGTCTGAGGGTCTTCCTCCATTTGTTGTGTCGAGTGTTCCAAAGGGCGGGTAAATGTCTCTGAGGAACATGTGCCAGCTTCCTATGCCCTTTATTGCATGCTGACCTCTTGTCCCTTGGGCTAGCCTGTCAGCCATGTGTACCTGTGCCCTGCATGGCTCACACACCCCTTCCCATGTCAACATCCACCTCTCCTTCCCTCCTCAGATAAGCCATGTGAGCTCTACTGCTCGCCCCTTGGGAAGGAGTCCCCGCTGCTGGTGGCCGACAGGGTCCTGGATGGCACACCCTGCGGGCCCTATGAGACTGACCTCTGCGTGCATGGCAGGTGCCAGGTGACGTGTTTTCCTTGTGTCTTTGGTGGGGCTTTGGAGGGGAGCCTTCTTCTCCCCAGAGGGTATTGGGGTGGGGCGGAGGCTTTGGGAGGCCTGGGGGAGTAGATTTTCTCAAGAAGGCACCTGATGGTGCTGCTTCTACAGCCTCGCACCCCTCCCTCCTTCAGCAGTGACGGAGCCTGAAGCCCACCTGCAGGTCAACTGGAGTTGAGGTGGCTGAAAAAAGAGTGGTAACATAATAATCTCAAAAGTCTTAAAATAACTTTAGACATGATGACAAAGGGAAGAGCAGGGGGCCCTCCCAAGGCAGCTCTCCCTGGCCTGGCATAGCAGACATGACTTGGCCCCTGTTTGCCCTCAGAATGGGCATCCTCCTGATGTGGCGCAGAAGCCAGGATTGGGTTGGGGGTTAAGAGGCTGCATATTTCCAGTTCCTAGAGGGGCGTGGCTCTGACCACACCACCCTCAGTTATGCCACATGTGCCGTATTTCCTGATGACCGAGATCGGTCTGAGCGTGTTCTGAAAGAGCCCCAGGAAGCCCTCTGCCTCAGCCACGGGTGCGTGCTCTCCTCATCATTGCAGCCAAGCTCCCTCAGCTGTGCTCCCAGCAGGCGAGCCCACTAAGAGCTGGAGGAGGCTCCCAGAGCCCTGAGCAAGCAGATGGATATCAGGATTACCATGCATTTGGCATGGAAAGGAAAACCAGGTCTTTCCTGTGATTTTTGCTTTTCCTTGTCTGGCCTCCATTGACCAGCACCTGTGTGGGACTAAGCAAAGAGTCCATTCACCAAGTTCCACTGAGCGGCCTTCTAATTTTACTAGGGAAAGAGGAAGTGCTTTCTAGGAGCCGTGTGGCTCTTGATGCTTCAGGGCCCCTACACCTTTTGAAGTTGATGCCCATCTCTAATGTTCAGTTTCAGGGAAATATTAAAACACTTGAAAAATTGTAAATTCAGGGGTCACGGGGAGAGAAACTGTTGTCCCTTCCTCAGTTGTACCAGAAATCTGCCTCCAAGCCTGGAGCCCACTCGCCCCAGGAGGGCGGCACGTCTTTGTTCTCTCTGCTTCCCAATGCCTGGCCAAGGGCATAGGCGGCAGGGTCTTGGAGAGTAAAGGAAAGGCGGAGAAAAAGGAGAAAGGCAGGAAGACACAGACACAAAGACAACTTCTGGGATGATTCCCGTGGCCAACTATTTCAACCCTAGTGGATTTTTTTCCCTGCGGACTCCAAACTAGTCTCAAACTGGGATCTTTCAGGGAAAAGCTTGACAATATCCAGACTCCTTTGGCACTGCCTGGCTTTGTTATCACATATGGGTATGTGTGGGTGATGGGCGCTTGGTGCCCGAGAGTCTTGGCAAGGCATCCTCCCAAGGAAGGAGGCAGTGATGGCTGGCTGAACAGGGCCTGCAGGGCTGTCACTTGTAGCAGAGAATGTACGAGGCCCCACTGTGAACAAAGTTCTTATCATTATTACTGAAATGAGGAATTGCTGACGGTTCTCTGTAAACCCGCTAGAAAGCCAAGCGCAAGATTTGTTTTCTTCCTAAATTAGACACTTGCACAGGCCATCCTGCAGCCCAATGAGGTACGTTCCTTTAGTAACAATTTCCCACCTACAAGCACTTGTACTCTTTAGAGTAGCACTGGCTGAGCCACCTCCAGCCTCTTGCCAGCATTTTCTGCAGTGTTCTTGCCAACGTGGAGGCATTTCTAAGAATCTTGAAATGTTCTGGCCAGTGGGGTCCATGTTAAGTGGCCAGACATGATTTCAGCTCTGAGTGATCAGTGCCATGGTCCCCTTCAGTGACCTTGGTTCTAACTGCAACCTTTTCAATTAGGGAATCTTCCCTGTACCATGACAGGAAAACTTTCAGTGCTTTAATTAGTACAGCAACGATGAGATGCCACTCAAGATATTTTAATAGCGTTAAGTCTGTGGTCATCAGAGCACCTTTGAATTGGAGCCTGACCTGCACTTGGGTGCGATAGGAATGACATGGGACACATGCCTTCCCATTCCCAGATGCCGTCCCATCCCCATGGAACCTCGCAGTTCTGTGGATCTATCTCAAATGCCTCTGTCACTGTCATCATCATTGCATTTACTCGTCTCTCCACTGAGCCTGACACTAACCAAGCACAACCACTCAAGGCAGGGGCACTAGAGCACAGAGGTGCAGACAAGGGCACCTTTCACAATGCTCTATGGTGAGCGGGTGGGCTCCTCCTCCTCAGGAGCCTCACCCTGCCAGGGGGGAGACCCCCACCTGCTGGTTCATGGATTCACCATATCCTCTGAGTGGATGCATCCCAGTGACGCCGCTGCCTCCAAGCAGCCCACCAGTCCTAGCAGAAGGCCCACCGTCCTGGTAGGTGGTGGCAGCACCCAAGTGGAAGCACCTCACAGGATTAAAATCCTGAGAAACAGCTCACTTCTGAAAGAGGTTAAAAGTACCATCTGCAGTTATTCTAATGGTGCTCTTTCTTCAGAAAGAAACTATAAAGGTTAACGTGAGCTTGTTTTTAAGTCAGTTTTCACAGAACCAGATTAGTGAAGTCATAGTCAATGAAGTTCTATAATAAAAATTGAGCATACTGAAATAAGGTTAAGAAAGTCAAATACAAATATAATATTTATGCCTAGTACAGGAATGGCTCAAATGGAATGTTCTGGATTCCTGTGGTGCTTCTGAATAAGGCAAGGAAAATTAGTGAAACAGAAAAAGAGTAACAGTACTTAAAAAATCTCAAGGGTTTAGTGAGCAGAGGATCTGTACTTATTCATTGATATAATTATCTTATTATAATGGATAAAAGGTAGAAATCATCCACATTTTATGTAAGACAGCTCTTGTAGAAATATTGCCATGGTTCTGCTAGCTTTTTCCTCTGTTCCCTTCAGCTATAAATTTTGCTATTTTCAGGTAGCAGAAAGAGTTCTGGGAAATTTTGAGAAACATAGTGACTAGTGCAGAGGGGACGAGAGGCTCCAAAATGACATTTTGAGTAGATTCCACTAAGCTCTAAAGAGCAGACTGGTTCAAACCGTACCATACAACATGGAAATACCATTTTATTCTGTTTTTATGGGGCCCGAGTTAAGCTTCATTTCACTGAGTCACAAATTACTCAATATGCTGAAATGAAACTTAGTGCTTATAAAAGTGGGAGCGAGTTGGGGGAAGAAACACAAACATTGTCTATTTTTCAGCAAGTCCCTATAAATCAAGAGTCCCATCATTAATGATTCCTACTGTTGGCCTCCAGAAGCAAAGAAATCAAGTTAATACGCCTCTAATGTGCAACTTGCCTCGGAGCTACTGACCTTGAGTGGGTGAGTCAAACTGGTGGACAGATCCGAATACACCTGAGACCAGATAGGCTTGGCTTTTCTTTAAGGCTTTATCAGCTTATGCACACTTGTAGCCAACGTACTCCAATTGGAGTCACGCTGTCTTGGGACCCTAACTTGTGTATGTCTCCTGGGCTTGATGAACATCAAAATGAAACACCGTCAGGGCCTATAGGCTTCTTCAGTGGAGAGATTGTGTCTGATTATCTGTGTGCCCCAGGAGCTGGCCCGGAGGAGAGCCTTTGATTGCATATTGAAAAGAGAAAAACAATGAGTGGATGAAAGGGTGGATGGGTCACCTGCTCCTAGGACTTCAGTGATTCTGGAATCTGGAGCCCATTTCAACAGACCATTTTCATTGTCCAGAATTTACTGACCTCCTATTTTGTATACAAAGGTCTGTTAGGCAAGTAGAATTGCTGGTGGAATTTAAGAGAATTATAAGAGTCCCACTGTGTAAAGAAGGGGTAACAAGCATTCAGGAAAATGTACCGGGCACTTCTGCTTGGGCCTGTATTTCAACAACGCCCTCCTGGTTGCTGCTTTTCTGCACATCCTGACCCTGCAGCTGACATCTCTGAAGTGTGTGACTGTTGGTGCTGAACGCTTGTCGATAGCAGTGCCTGAAACTCTGAAGTCATTCCCTGCATCCCTGTTATCTGATTAACCTCCTATAGCAACTTCTGGAGTAAGCCAGCAGACTGAACCGCATTCCGCTCCTCTTCCATCCCAGGACTCCAGTAAACGGATGGGAAAGGCAGTATAGCACAAACCATCACAGCAAAGAAAGGCAGAGGCCACCGTCTGACAGAAGAGAGATGCCACCTCTTTCTGGAGGATGGAAGTGGATGGAAGTATCAATGAACAAAGCATCAGAAGCCAGAACTGGAACAAATGGAGAGTCTCAACCGAAAGCAGAATGCTTGACCGAGTCTAGGACTTGGAGATGGAGGGTGGGAGTGAGGAGTTGGCTGGAAAATAATGAGGAAAGTCAAAGGCTCATCCAACATGACTGACCATGCACTTGAAAGACCCAGAAAAACAGAAAAACTGACCCTGGCAGAAAATTGAGATAGTTATAGAATTCTGTATACAGCCACTTGGTGTTATTTGACACACTTGGCACCTGAAATAGTACCAAGCAGAGGGGTCAGAGTACACAAACCTGTCCCAGCCCCTGGGGATCCTGAAGAATTAACTTAGAGAGTGATCCTACATATGTCCCTTTTTGCAACTGACCTGAGGAGCCCACTGGGACAGACAGTGACCTGCTGCGTGTGGGGCTTCTTGATATTATGGGAGAGCCCGCTGTGGATGAGCCTCTGAATGCTGGCTCTCTGTGCATCTCACATCCAGAGGGATAGAGGGAAGGATGTGGTCCTGTCTACTTTCTCCTTTCCTCTCTTCCTTTTTTGGAGGGGGCAGGGATTCTGTGAAAGAAAAAGGGATAGAGGACAATTACCTGTCTGCTCAAACCATGTGGTGGTTGTCCCCCAACCCCTTAGCAGGAGGAAGGCCCGGCCTGTACGCAGTCTCCATCTGTCCTGACAACACCCACCCCTCATCAGGGCCCGAGCAGTGAACCTGGGTTTCCCGAACCAGAGAGGTAATTTTTACAGCAACCCTCTGATGTAGCGGTTAATATTGTCATTTTTAGAATGGGGAAACTGAGGCTCATATCCAAATCTGTAATAATCCTCAGGACATGCATAGTGACCACAACTTGAACATAACAATTATGAAAGAGAAGCTGACTGCCCACCTGCTGGGGTAACTTAGCCCTAATCTAGCAGCCACTTAGCTACAATTTGAAGTCATGTCTGAAGGATACTTTTGTTCTTAGAGGTGAAATTTTAGCAAAAGAAACTAGTTTTTACAATTAAAACAAAATGCTGGGTAGGGAAAGAGCAGAGCAGTTTCCCCCTGCATCCAGCCTTTGACAGTTTAACACATAAGATCATGTGAACCCTACAAGCAAGGCTGTCGAAGGATCCAGATCTGGAGCCCTGTTTCCCGGGTGGAGAGGTGTAAAAGTGTGATCTTGAGGCTCTCGGTTTAAGGCATTTGGGGTCTTGTAACTACACATTCTGTCGTGATGGAGCTTCCTATAGATTGTTTACTCAACCTAAGCACCATTGTAAGGGGGCTTTGCTTCCTGAGAGTATAGGGGAGCCAGCCACTGTTGTCCTTAGAGCTCTGCTGGGCTCCCCCACACCCCTCCAGGATATCTCAGCCCAGAAACTGCTTCTGCTCAGGGATGACAGAGGATGGAGGCAGCAGGAATCACCTCCCCAGTGGGAGCTTCATGCATGGGGCGTTTCTTGGGGGTCCTCAGGCAGGCACCACACCCTCGGGACATAGAGGGCTCAGGATCTGACAGGAGTGGCCATCTCCATGAGGGTCTTTTTCTGAGCTCCAAACCTAGCCCAGTGGTCTCCCAGTATGCCCTGGGCTCACAGCATCACCTGGGTACTCATTGGAAATGCAAATCCTTGGGCCCCACCCCAGCAATGGGTGATCACCCCCAGCCCTCCTGGCGATTCTGGCACACTGGAGTTTGAGAACTGCTGCCACAGGTGTCTTGTGCCCCTGGGCCTGGGAGATTTTCTATGTGCCCTGGAGATTGACTGCCACTGGTCAAACCCGGGGAATTGTTCCCTTTAGAGTGTGCAGAGCACGCAGAGCAAGAATTGTCTGAAAGGCTATACCATCTTGGTAGATTGATTTCAGCCCTTGCAACCAGTCACCCCAGCCAAAAAATAAGCAGGTGGCTCACATTTTGGAAAGGATTACCCAGCACCTCAAATCCAGATCTAAGCCCATGCTCTCCAGAAGCTATATTGAGCCTCCCGAGAGACACAGATGCTGACAAGGATGGGCCCCCCAGACTTGCCTGTAAATAGCCAGGATTTTCTTGGAAAGAAGGCAAGGGCTAACTCCTTGCAGGCCAAGCATGCTCAAGTGTCGTCGACCAGCAGCACGCTCCGGCAGTCCCGTACACCTTGCTGGACTCCCAACTGACTTTGACTTCGTCCCTGAAAAAAAGGAAATCAACTTCAAATGTTGCATCTACTTAAACTTTGGACGTGTGAAGTCTAAACCAGTGCTGGTTGGGGCCTTGCTACTGAGAAAGCATGTACATTTTCTTTATGTTATGTTTTAGGAGCGATGGCAAGAATCACCGTGAGGAGTAGAAAACTGCCCCCCGACCTGCCTATGCTTGTCCAGGGCAAGAGCATCTCCTGCTGGGTACTGAGCAACCCTGAGGACACCTGGTGCTGGTCTGGCTGTGCAGGGGCTCACTTAAGCCACCGTCTTGCCTTGTTCTCACTTTTTTCTTTCGTACCAAGATCGTTCTTTCAGGAGACTGTTGGAAGGAGAAGAAATTTGCTCATCTAGGAATGTGTGTGCCCTCCCTCCCAGTGAGTCCCTTGGCCTGCCCCTTCCTGAAGCACCTTCCACACCTGTCTTTCCTGCTTCTAGGTGAATTCCTGGTCTGGCAGATTTCAAACACAAGCTTTACCTCCTAGCCCTGATCTCCTAGCCACACAACAGGTGACCTTTTGAAATTCTAGCGTGAATTCTCCCTTGACATCTCTTTTCCTCAAAGACAGCATTTCTCGTGTTCTTTAGCTTCTCTATTCTGAATGTCGCCACATTCTTGCAAACCTAGCATGCTTTTGAAAGAGGCCTTACCCTCTCCAGGAGGCCTCCCAGTGACCCCAGTCCTGGCTGAAGCCAATCAGGGGAGATAGTCAGCCAGCCCGGGTCTGCGAGGCAGAAGGTGAGGGGCTGCTCCCAGCTCTGCCAGACACTATGTGGCCTCAGATTTGTCAGGTGCTGTCACTGGAGCTGGAGGAAGCTGTCTGGACCAAGTGGGATGTTAACTTAGAGCGTTTAGAAACTGTTTAATCAAGAGACTCTAACTGAGGTACCAGACAGAGAACAGGTGGTCAAGCCAGAGATTATTGCTGAATGGGAGCGTGGTTAAAAAATAATAGGAAGCCAATGTAGGGAGAGTCTAGAGCTGAGAGTACCTGAGAGATGGGAACCCACAGGGGGATAGCTCAGGGTGATATGAAAGAGGCCAGGGTGCGGGGCCAGCTCTACAGGTGTTGGCCCTGTGACTGTACCAGAAACAGACTGGAGACCGTCACACTGGAGCTCTGGAATGCAAAGGAGCAGATGAAGATTGGCAGCACACATGTGGCCCCACAGACCCGCAGAGTTGGTCCCAGGGCATTTGCTGAGCATGCTGGTTGAGCAAAATTTTGGATCTTTCCTTCCACAATTCTTCGCTCCTATAATTTTGCATCGAGCAACTTTACAGCAGTCAGCCAGCTGTGCAGACCGTGAATCTAGGCAGCAGCTCCTCAGCATGCTCCAGGTGCAAGGGACGCTGCGGCAGGCGGTCTACCTCCATGTCATTCTCGGCTGGTCTGCCCTGGCAAGAGGTTGCAGTGATGCCAGACTGTCTGGGTTTCTATGTGTTGCCTGAGCTTCCAGCTCCTATAAGTCCACTCGCCTCCATTTGCTCCTCACGTGGCCTCTGGCTGCTGAAGCCCCCAGTCTTGCCCTTTACCTGTTTTTATGCTGACTTTGAACACGTTTGAGCTTTTCGCAAAATGCTGCCCTTTTCAGTTTTCGTAATGTTTGTTTTAGGACTGAATTTGCTCAGCACTTAGCATATCTTCAAGTCTTTATTGAAATATATTCAGTTATGCTGTCATTTTTGGACACCCAATAGTAATTTCCCATTAATTCTTTCCCAAAGAAATAAAAGGATACACAGGTGAGGCTTCAGGACTGTTGAGTATGAAGAACCCTCATTTACTTTTTGTATAGCATACCATAGTGCAAGTCCAGAGTGTGGTCCTGCCCAACAGCATCAGTGTCACCTGGGAACTTGTTAGATATGCGAATTCTCAGGCCCACCCAGACCTGCTGGATCAGAAACTCTGGGGAGAGGATCCAGCAGTCTGTGCCTTGACAGGCCTCCTGGTGAGGCAGGTGCACGTGCGTGTTGAAGAACCACTGCGGTTTGGAAGCAGAGGATTCTGACTCAGTTGGTGAGCCATGGGCCCGAGCATTCACCTCTAGGAAGTCTGCTGTTCAGCCAGCTCTGCTCCATGCCCTGCCCCTGTCGGAGGGGGCTGTAAGGAGGGAAGCACCTTGCTAGCACCCATCCAGGCATCAGAAGAAAGAGCAAACTCAGCTTGGCCTGGGTTATCTGGTTGTAGAATCCTTTACACCCAAAGGTATAGAGCAGTGAGGAAAACCCAGTTCTTGTCCTGGAAGTATTCAGTGTAGGGGGAAAAAAGTGGAAGGCCTTTTCAACAATTTAACTAGTAAATAATTAAATACCTAGTGTTTACTATACCGTGAACTTAGATATGTTATTTTACAAAATGTAAGATTTTGTGCATTTTTGAAAGGAAAAACAAGAGGTCACTACCATTTCCCACTTTTCATGCACTGACTTGGGCTATGCTGCCCAGAGCCACCCAGGGTCAGGACTTCTGTCCGCTGCCCTCAGACATGCCTTGTGGAAAGGGTTTGAGAGACAGGGGCTCTTCTTGGGCTGGATCTCCCTAACTAAGGAACGGGGGCCTGTTCCCAGCCACGCCTGGATGGGCTCTGGGCTTCTTGACCTCGGCAGGGAGGTCAGTGTGGTTTCTGCTGTGTCTTCTGAGATTGTTGGCTGTTCCAACCAAGATACAGGTGACCCGCGCAGCTCTGAGGGGAACATGAATCGTGTGATATTGTGGCCACACCAGGAGGTGTGCAGAAGCTGGCCTCACTACCCACCTGTGGCCTCTGCCTCAGGCAGCTCTAGAAGGGGCCAGACCTCAGGCCTCAGTGTGACTTCTGTGGGCACTTTTGCCTTCGTGGGTCCCCTCTTCCATAATAAATACTAAAAACTATATTTGATGACTGTGTAGGTTTAAAGACAAATATCATGCAATCTGGATTCTGTTCAGTTTTTCTCTTCTGATTTTAAAATTAATTAAAATATTTTCTTGGGCCTCTGAAAGTGTCGTGGGCCCCAGGCACCATGCCCGCTGGGCCGAATGGAGAAGTCGGCCCTGCAGGGTATCCTCTTCGAAGATCCCTCTGCGTCTCACACACAGAATAACCCAGCCCTCTGGTTGTTTAGAAAATCGGCTGCGATGGCATCATCGGGTCTGCAGCTAAAGAAGATCGGTGCGGGGTCTGCAGCGGCGACGGCAAGACCTGCCGCGTGGTGAAGGGCGACTTCAGCCACTCCCGGGGGACAGGTGAGTACAAGGCCCCGAGGAAGGGGGGCCGTCACCACTCCTGGGGAACAGATGAGTGTGAGGCCCAAGGAGTTGCTGCAGCTACAGGACAACCTGTGCGTGTTGTATATTTTATTTCCTTTGACCAAAAGCCAATGATTGCATGCCTTCCCTGCATTACATATTTAAGGGCTTGTTGATAATAGATAGATGACCTGGCACTTCAGTTTTATGATTTCTGAAAGGCAAAGAAAGACATTTTAGCCAGAATGTCTTTAGGTTCCTAGAAGAGAATCGTTTGCCTGTGGCGCTCAGTGGCACAGCCCCCAGGTCCTTGAATCTCGCAGTAGCTACCCTGCCTGCCAGCTCCCATTGGAACTTCATGTCAGCCCATCTTCTGAGGTGCACACAGAAGGCAGCAAAGACGCTTTGCTACGTCATTTTTACCTGTAGATGGAAGAGCTGCTCGCTTTCTGAGTTTTCTGTCAGTAAAAGTAACATAGCATTTACACGCATCCCTAAAATGCACATGAAGCCATCTGTTCCAGGAAGTCTGAGATGCCTCTGCCAACTGTGACTGCAGAGTGACTAAGTATCCTATTTCCCAAAGGTAAGCCCCCCACCCCCACCCTGCAACACCATGCTTAGAGAGGTTCATCAAAATTCAGTTGATGGCCTTCTTAATCTTTCTGCCTGAACCCTCTTCACAGATGTAGGCTGCTTTACCCAGAGGCAGGAGATGGTTTCTGATCTCCTGTCCTGGAGGACGTCAGCCTTTGATGTCCAGGGAAGTTATCTAGGTTGGTACTTAACGAGGGGAGCATGAGGCAGGCAAGTCAAGCGGAGGGTGAGCTCTTCTCGAAGCCTTAGTGAGTGTCCCCTCACCCAGTGTCACCAAGAGCAACGTCACCAAGATAACTTATTGGGTGGACTGAGCTGAAAAGTTTATATGCTAATTTCCACAGTTGCTTTGTATAGAAGCTTTTCAGTTCAGTCCCAGCCAATAAGAGAACAGAGTCACAGTTATTCCTCCCCGGCCCACAGAGCAGACCTCTGGGCTAAGACAGCAGGAGTCTGTTCTTGCTTCTCCTTTTCTCTGTGTGGAGAGAAGACCTGGTCTGGAGGAAACGTTCCTTCTGGATATCTTGTGGAAAGGGCAACCTACTGCACAAACATTTTGCAGGATCTTGTTTTAGCAAAACCAGAGGCAAGTGCGAGTGCAAAATTGAATTTAAAAATTATGTTTCAGGCCCAGTAAGGTCTGGTTTCAGGATTTAAAGTCAGGTGCCCAGTCTGTGAAACAGGAAGCTTGTGTGAGAGTCTGTGCTTGCTGCATGGCTCTTGAGGTAAACTGAAGACGATGCTGCTGGAGCAAGTCAATTAGGGGGAAAATGCCCTCCGAAGCTCCGCTGTCCAGTACAGTAACCACCAACCGCCTGAGTCTCTTCAAATTTTAATTGTAATTAATTAAAATTAAACGTACTTAAAAATTCAGCCCTCAGTCCCACTAGTGCCATTTCAAGTTCTCTGTTGCCGCATGTGGCCAGTGGCTCCTGTGTTGGAGAGCACAGAGAAAGCACATTTCCATCCATTGCAGAACGTTCTCTCAGATGACACTCCTCTGGCACTTTGGTAGTTTCTTCTGTTTGTTTTGACATTTCTGGTGCCGCTTTCCCTATTTGGACCCCAGCTCCAGTTTGCCATGGGACTTGGGCCTTGCCTACTGCAGCTGGGCCAGCAAGGGCAGTTAGGAACAAAACCTCTGCAGGTGGCAAGTGTTTACTGTTGATTAAAAAAAAAAAGGAAGAATTAGAACCTTTTATTTAAACAGAATGTTGTGCTGAGCTCCAAGAAACCGACAACAATTTCTCCATTCTAGGGAAGACAGGTCGAGCACAACCATGCCTACTCCTTTCCCCTGGGCGATTCTGTAGAACACTGAGGAAGGTTCCACAACACACCTTTAAAAACCTCCACTGTCTGCCCCACAGCAGCTCAATTCCGAGAGAACCCAGCTTGGAGCAGAAGCATTCTCTTTTTCTTCCCAGGGTCTAGTCATTTGTTGGCCTTTGATCTTGGCACAAGCAGATCCATTGCTCCAATTGCAGTAGCGTCCTTTACTTCTGCTCTCCCCTCTCTCCATGCCTCACCCAGCCCACGCACAGGAAGGAAGTGGCTGTGACGTGCAGCCCCCCTCCTAGGGAGGTCAGTCTCCCATGTAAGGGCAGACAGCCAGTGGAAGCCTTCTAGGGTAGCTGTCCTCACCCTGGCTTGGGACTTAGTGTGCTTCCTTCCAGCTTCTCGGGCTCAAAAGCTTTAGCAAACCTTCATAGAAAGACAAGCACAAGTTAGCTTCACCCACCTGTAAAGGTTCTGTCTTTCTGAGCGGTTGCCAGATGTCTCACATTCTGTTTAAAGTCTCAAGCTGTTTTTTTCCAAATCCTCATGGTTGGGATCTGTGGGCCTAAGCTCATATCAATGTGGATTCTGTTTATTGAAGATGTGCATGGAATGCTCACTCACACATGAGTGAATCACTATCTACTATAGTTTCATCAAATACAAACCTGCAATCATGATCTGCCATTCTAGAATGCACATATAAAGATACTGGCAAATGGTCACCCATGAGTCCATTCACCCAATAAACATTTATTCCTCGCTACTACATTTTAAACACAAGGTATACAGAAATAAAAGTTAACTGTCACCAAGTTGGTCATAGTCGAGGGAGGGGATCCCCAGGCAAACAGCTTGAGTCCATGTGTGAGACAGAGGCCACTCAGCGGGGGGTGCTCTTGGGCCCCAAATTCTTGTGGGGCACCTCGCCGAGGCCTGCGGGCAGATGAGGGTGATGCCCAGCCCTAAAGGACAAGCAGAAATTAACTGAAAGTGGAGGCGGGGGAAGGACATTCAGGCTGAAGGAAAAACCCAACTTAGAAATGGTATAACAGCCCCAGGTCATGTAACCTCTAGGCGACTCCAAGTGAGAATGGATGGATTCGCTAATACCGGCAGTTTAGATAGGCAGGTAACTTTCATCTCTACCCAACTTGAAAGACGTGGGGGGAAAAAAGGAATGTCTTATCATCCTTGAGGGTGAATATCAAAGAGAAATACCATACCAGGAAGATAAAAAGGAATCAAATGCAGGATTTTTGCCCAGCTATACAAAGTCCTGACCTTTGCCTGAACTCTCCTGGGTCCTTTTATGTAAGTGCTTGAGCTGAGACTCCAGAGCAGACCCACCCAGGGATAGTGTCCACGCCCCCCAGGAGGTCCCCCTGTCATGTCCTTGAGAGGTCCCAATGCAGTGAGTAGGGATATGGCATCCTGAGTGTAGGTTGTTTCTGACCTTCTGGCCTGTTGCCTCCCAACTTTGAACAAGTGAGGTCCTCAGCAACTCAACAATAGGAGGAATCAACTCCAGTTGGCTATCACATTACTTTTCTGGTGGATGGGCTTCAAAATGCTCAAGCCTTTGGTTGAGTTGGAACAGTTGAGTTTTCATAATTTAGTAATTTGAAAGTTCTTGGTGTGATGCTTTCACTTCATTCATTAAATTGTCATTTTAACATTATTATCTTTATTCCATGCTGTTCTTCGACACTAGAAAGGTAACTAGTGGCCATGGACATCCAGGACACACCTGAACTGAAGTCCCCACCAAGAACCAACCACAGTGCCCCATGGGCTCCGAAGCCCTCTGCACTTTCTTCTCAAAGAGAACATCTTCAATCAGTTCTTAAAAGGGAGGGTGAACGTGATCTATCCCTTTTAAATGTGGATAGATCCATGTGTCACATTTATTCCATAATTACCTTTAGAACCTCTGCCACGTGCCAACTTCTATGCTGCAGTCTCTAGGTGCGGGGTGTGGAGGTTTCGTTACTGTTACTTGATGACGACACATAATGACTCTTCTTTCCACTGTGATTAGGAACTGTAGTATCAGTTCCTGAAATATACACGTAAACCAATTGCAATGTATTTCTTTTCCTCAGTCAAGAATAATCTGTGTACGAAGGTGTCCACATGTGTGATGGCAAAGGCCGTTCCCAAGTGCTTCTCATGTAAGATGTTTGAATAATATGCACAGTCCTAGTGGTGACATGCCTGGTGTGGGGTCCTTGCCTTGCTTATATGCCTGAAGCTTTTCTGAGTGGAGTCAATGGGAGTGAGTCATGCATGAAGCCATGGATAACGTTACCGCCGTTTATCATTTATCACTTATATATAATTGACATTTGAGTTGCCAAAAAGAAAAACTATAGAATAAAACCAATTTTAAACCTATAAAAGATAAAAAGTCATGAGATTGGAGGCATGCCCTAATATGCCAGGGGTACATCTTCGTTCTCCTCAGCCACACGTGGCACTTTGGCAGAAAATACTAAGACATGCCAGAAAATTTAGCCTCAGATGGCACTTTCCTCCATAGGAAAATTTCCATATTACAGGATTGGATTACCCAAAGGGCAGAGGGCACTTGGTAACACCCTCCTGCTCTTCATGCTGGAGATGAAGGTCATGGCCTTGCTTTGGCCCACCTGCGCTGACCTCACATTCTGAGAGCTGAACAGGAGCATTGGTCTAGCTTCATGGGCTTCCCAAACAATGAGTGCTTTTCAGTTAGACCCAGCACAACTTTGAGGGCTAAACATAAAGATAGTAATATTCTCATAAACGACTTTCGTAGAAAGGGAAAACTATAAACTTAGACAACAATCTCCCCAAGCATTTTATAAGATAACTACAAAAAAAAAAACTTTGATTTTTCTTTTTTTTTGAGGAAGATTAGCCCTGAGCTAACTACTGCCAGTCCTCCTCTTTTTTGCTGAGGAAGCCTGGCCCTGAGCCAACATTGTGCCCATCTTCCTCTACTTTATATGTGGGACGCCTACCACAGCATGGCGTGCCAAGCGGTGCCATATCCGCACCTGGGATCCGAACCAGCGAACCCCGGGCCGCCGAGAAGCGCAACGTGCAAACTTAACAGCTGCGCCACCGGGCCAGCCCCCCCCCCCCTTTTTTTTTTTTTTTAATATGTTTGCTACAACCTTGTGAAAGAGTCCCGGTCCACACAGCCAGGTCTTTCCCTGTATTCCACCGTGGTACCTTACCAGCTCGATGGTTTTCTTCCAAAGTTAATGCTACTGGAAGAACAAGGGAAAAAAATGTGACCCCCAAATCATGTGAAAGCAATGTACTTGGGAAATTCAGACAAAAATTATTTCACAGGGAAATGTGCTCATTTTCTCGTAATATTAACTATTCAGAAGATTTGAGACAGTTTTACAGTCAGCATCACTTTGAAGTTGTCCTTAAGGCAAAAATGGCATCTCCTGAAACAGCAGCAAAGACATTGAATTTTATCCCTGGCTTCCTCATGAAACCAAATCATGTCCCTCTAACTGGGTGTCTCCTGCTTGATGGCAGAGACTAGAATGGAAAATCATTCCAAGGATAAAGTCTTGCTACCTTACCTAAAATGTGACTCTATCCTGTGACTTCTTAGAGTGGGTCCTAATCATAGTTCATGCCCAGTCAACATGGTGGTGTCTGGTGTCTGCACGGGGGTCTGCTGGTGTCTGGGGGATGACAAGGTGCTTTGGGACTTGGTGATGGGAGTCGTTCCCCAGCTGGTCACTCTTCAAACCAGCCTCGGAGTAGGCTTTGAGCTCTGGGTGAGAGAGAGTAGGAGCTATTGGAAAGAGGACAATGAGTTAGAGGTGGTTTCCTTGGTCCGTGGACAGAGGACCTGCCTTTCATTTCAGGTGTTTCTCCTTCCTGGTTCCCTCCGTATCGTGAGTAGAGAAGCTCGTCTTAGAAAGAAAGGTTAGCAGAGCCTGTGCACAATGACCCCCCGGCCCTGTTACTCAGAGGTCACCTGAGGATGAGCCTCACCTGAGTTGCATGTCTGCCCTGAACTTTTCACTGCTCATCAGCCTTTGCTCCCGCAGGTACAAGAGAAGAGAGGAAACAGGTACCTTTCATTTTGCTGCTTGTGCCAAAGTTAAGCTTAAAAGTAGACATGGTGACTATGCATTGGTGGAAAATGTATCTTGCTGTGGAATGTGGAAAATTAACTAATCTGGACCATGGCAGATGTGTCTGTTGCCTCAGATTCTGCAGCCTGGTGATGCTAACACCAGGGTTCGTTAGTCACGAAACAGGAAGATTCCACATAACAGCAGCTTCTTTCAGAGAACAGTTTGATTCTTCAAGCAGATCCTATTCCTATGTCTGATTTGTGGCTTAAATGACGATGCCTCCAAAAAAGGTTTTAATCACATTGACCCTAAACAACTTTGTCTCTGTTTTTGACACTTTACTATTTTATATGCCTGGAATCCAATAATTCTTCAAACTCCCCTAGAAGGAATGGATTTCACTAAGAGAAATTTGTGGTACAAAATCCAGTGCTGTAATCCTAGAAGATGGATTTTGTTAGTTTGTTTTGGTGGGGAGAGGAGGGCAGGTTTTGTGGCCAAACTTCTTACGTAGGGAAGCATTTCTAAAGCAAAAACTATTTTTAATAAAAAAATCTTGCCTTACCCTATAAGGACTGGACAGTGCAGGGGCTGTGTGCAGGCTGCTCGGGCAAGTCAGTGTTGCTGTCCCCAAGTCACAGTGGTTGGAAGGGATCGTACTGGAGGGAGGATCACTCCCCAGTTGGTTAAAGTCGTCCTGCCTGGGAATCAGGACGGATCAGGGCACGAGAAGCAGACAACTGCTGCTGTCAACTGGACTCTGTTTACCTCTCTGGAGTCTCCCCAAGCGTCATGTAGAACATTTATTCATAAATATCTGAGGCTGGATCTATAGTAATATTGTCTAAGCATTTGCGATCAAGACTGAAGAACACTGCTGAACTTTCCGTTCAAGATGGCTGGTTAAACACAAGGGCTTATCTCCTTGTCTTCCCAAGATCACCTTAAAGTGAATGAGAAGGAACTTATTAAAAGTCCAGGAGAACAAGGACACCTCAGGTGGATGTTCCTACCTGTGTGCATCACACTAAATAGACTTGGTTTTGCTGCAGTAAACAAGCAAACAAACAAAACACAGTGCAGAAATCCCCCACATCTCAGTGGCTTAACACAAAAGTTTCTTTCTTGCTCATGCTGCATGTCCAACATGAGCTGGCAGGAGGCTCTCCATATTGCGGCCACCTGTGGACCTAGGCTGACAGAGATTTTATTGTTCACACGCTGCGACTGTCACCTTGGCAGGAAAAAGGGAACTCATCAAGTCAGGCCCTAGTGCTCCTAAAGGTCTTACACCCACGTCACTTTCACTCACGTTTTAAGGGTGAAAGTCAGTCACATGGTCACACAATTTAAAGAGGGCCGGGAAATGTATGCCTACCATGATTCCAGAGAGAGACATGGAAATATTTCGTGGCCAGCACCACAGCACAGCACCTATAGCAAACTTCTCTGCAGTCCAGTATTTCGGTTGTCAGCACATAGCAATGGCTCCCTGCCCCTCAGCTAGGAGCCAGTCCTGACTGTCAGCAAACCACACCCAAATACGGAGACAACCCGTCTGTGGCATCCTTCTCAAAATCATCTGCAACGCAAGTGGGAAAGACTGAGATAACCTGAAAAGATGACCTATGCGAAGACCAAGATAACTCAAATAATAGAAGCTCAAAATCTCTAGTAACTATTCTTAGAAAGATTTGAGATGCTCTTTTGTCCATGAAACAAGTACAGAATGCTGTAAGAAGATACAGAGAACAAGATCTCAAATATTGAAACTATGACTATCATATTAAAACCATGTGATAAAAGGCACCATAAACAAACAAAAATTGACAGAAAAAAATGTTTACAAGTCTAGTAAACAAAAAATTTTAAGTCTAAAATATATTAAATATATATTAATAGACATTAAAATATATTTTAAAAAATAAAAACAAAAAGTAAGTAGAAAAATGGACAACACTTAGAAATGAGGCTGTTAACTGAAGGGGAAATGCAAATGGCCAGTAGGTATGTGATAAGATGCCAAGCCACACTGGTAATGAAGGAAATGCAAATTAAATCTACAGCATAACATTTTTTTCACCTATTAGATTAGCAAATAAGAGGATTGATAATTTCGAGTATTTAGAAGTCTGTGAATAAACACGTATTCTCCTATAATATTAGTTGACTTAGATTTTAGTTAAACCATTATGGAGGGCAATTTAGCTGTGCATTTAATATTTAAACTGCATGTGTATTTGACCCAGCAATTCTCACAGCTGGCCTGGTAAGACTTTGTATATATGCACAAGAAGACGTGCAAAGCTGTTAATTGCAGTATTGTTTCTTTCTTTTTTTTTTTTTTAGCATCTTTGTAGAGATATAATTCAAGCACCATAAAATTCACCCATTTAAAATATACAATTCAGTGGGTTTTAGTACATGCACAGAGTTTTGCAACTATCACTACAATCATCCCAAAAAGAAACCTCACACCGATTAGCAGTCATTCCGCATTTCCCTCCTACCCCAACCATAGGCAACTACTTTCTGTCTATGGTAAACATTTCATATAAGTAGTATCATACAATATGTGGTCCTTTGTGACTTGCTTCTTTAACTTGACATAATATTTTCAAGGTTCATCCATGTTGTAACATGTATCAGTGCTTCATCCTTTTTATTGCTGAATAATAATCCATTGTATGGTTATATCACATTTTTTAAATACGTTCATCAGCTGATGGATATTGGAGTTGTTTCCATGTTTTTTGGCTGATAATGCTAATATGAACATTTGTGTACAAGGTTTTGCATGAACATATGTTTTCATTCTTCTTGAATATGTACCTAGGAGTGGAATTGGTAGGTCATATGGTAATTCTGTTTAATTTTTTGAGGAACTACCAAACCCTTCTCAAAAGTGCCTGCAACATTTTTGTAGGGGAGGAAGACATTTCCTCTACCCACTCTGGGTCCTTCTGGCCAGACAACAAATTAAATTCACATAAGACAGAATAGCAGGAGAAAATTAAACAAAGCTTTATAACATTTATACATGGGAGGGACTGAGGCAAACTGAGTAACTCACCAAAATG